GCATGTCCCACATCCCAGAAGTAGCCCTCCTTGCTCTTGGCTCTGCTGTCCTTTCTCACCCTTCCTTCTCTCTGCAGGACCAGGGGCTTTCATCTTTGCTCGTCGTATCTTTCCTTACCTCCCTTCGTCTGCTGTGGCCTTCTCCACTGTAGGCTGCTGAGGTGGGGTTTTTGGCAAGTACACAATTTACATATTCCAGTAATTGCCACCCCTTCTCCTCTAACCCAATCTTAACAGAACATCTTTCCTGTACAGGAATTTGAGTCTCCTGCCTTTCCATTTAGACAATGACACCCTAGAACAGTGCTCCTCATTCATACTTAATTAGAGTCTAGTCCATTCTTGTCTTCCAGTTTTTCACCTTTCCCTTGTGACATTCATACCTCATATTATTTTTGAGTCTGGGTTTAAGTGTAGTCCAATGGACAAAAATAAGCTAGCATTTTTTTTTTTGTGCCACTATGTGCTGATAGATGCATAGTTAAAAATATTTGCCTTTTATTTTCCTTGGAGTTCTAGACAGATTTCTTTTCTTAACTGCCTAGGTCCTGCCATTGACCTGGAAAAAGTAAAGTCAGAATGTCTCGAGCCCGAACCGGAGTTACGGAGCACTTTCAGTGAGGAAGCAAATACGTCGTCCTATTACCCCGCTCCTGCACCTGTCATGGACAAGTATATCCTAGACAATGGCAAGGTAGTGTTTTAAGCTCAATATCCATTCCCTACAAGTGTTTGTTAGTCAGAGTAAAGATGGAGACTATGGTGGGAGCTTTCCACAACACAGCATGACTGGTTGGCTTCTTGGCCTAGCCCTGAGTGACTATTTCTGGAATTTTTCTGTTATAACTAGTGTAGCTTTGCTAGGACCTTTTCCTCTTCCTTCTTCCTCCTTTCTTTCTTTTTCTTTTCTTTTCTTTTTTCTTTTTTTTTTTTTTTTTTAACATTTTGGGCCAAAGCAACTGTAGAACTAAACTGACATTTTAAAATAGCTTATTAGTGAGAAAGATATTTTTTAAAATTCCCATGATAGTGTGATGGAACTTGTTCTACCTTTCTATGAAACCAGATGCTTACATTTATCAGGTGAACTGAAAATGAAGCATCTGATTTACAGATAACAACTCAATACATATTTGTTGACTGTTTACGAAGTATCTGTATGTTCCAAGCCCTGTGTTAGATACTATGAACACGGGGAAGAATAAGACATGCTTTCTGTCCCCAAGCTGCCTTTGAGCTGTATATTCTGCAGTGGTTAGCCCACAGTCCCAGGGCAACATATAACTCCTCAGATTTTCTTATATGACTCTTGAAAACAAATCATGAAAGAAGACATAAGCACTATTAGTAATTGTATTGATACAGGATTGAAAACTAATAGAATAGCCTTTAGAAGTCTTAAAGTCACGTGATGCTATAGCAGCAGGGCACGGGAGGGAACTGTTCTGACATCCTTCTAACATCAAAATGAATTCATCTTCAAAGAAGAACATCAGACCCTTTTATCTAGGCACTGGTAAAAATCCAGCTTTAGTATTATACTCTCTGCCACCCTGGCACACATTGTAGACATCACCTCTCATTCTCCTTAAAGAGTCGTCTGTGTCAGTTCATTTTTCTTGCCTCATGCTTCGAAAGGTCTCTGTTTATCTAGTATCATTCCCCAGTGGGTTGATGAGAAAGAAAAGGTTGTTTTATTTGGGTTTGTACAGGTATATCCCTGCAGCTGGCCATCCTGAGCCAAAGCAAATATTGTCAAGCTGAGGAAATGAAACCTATTAGTTTTCAGGGCTCTCTTGGATGTGCTGTCAGTCCTTGCATCTCCCACTGAGCGCTTCCTCTCCTATAGAGGCAAGGCTGTTGGGCCAGGCCACAGGCCCTGCCTTGCTCCATTCAACAGGCTTGAGAAATCAGCTTTGCAGAGGAGAGGCGGCAGGACAGAGTAGAAGCAAGCATCCCGGAGCCTGAGTTCTTAGCATAGCTGTGTGACCTTGGGCAGATCCTTCGATTCTCTGCAGCCCAGTTTCCTTACCTGCGAAAGGTGGGATCTGATTGATGCTCTCCATATGCCTTTTTTGACTCAAACTGTGTAGCTAAGTTTGGTAGACCTTCTCTGATTGGAATTTAAAAAAGATAGGACTATTCTATGTTTGTTGATTTCCTTTTAGTCATGACCACTTTGTGAAATGACAAGAGAGGTTTTCTTAAAGTAGCTTCCCAGAGAAATCTATTTCTCTCTTGCTTTGAAGCTGATGGACAGTCTCTGAGCATTATAGGGGACCCCTTTTGCAAAGATAGCATTCTTCTCCCACAAAATGGCTCTCTCAAACCTCATTTAATTTTTTTTACACGTGAGTTGAACAACAAATCTTGAAAAATGCCTATTTTGTTTTTTCACTGGTTTTTACCAGGATGTTGCTATAAGACAAACCTGGTTTTTGTTTGCATCTAGTTTGTAGTCAGGCAGAGAGATTATTAAGGTGGAGGAAAGAAAGCAGACCTGCTGAAAATGGATGGCAGCATCCCAGAGCAGCATGTCCCACATCCCAGAAGTAGCCCTCCTTGCTCTTGGCTCTGCTGTCCTTTCTCACCCTTCCTTCTCTCTGCAGGACCAGGGGCTTTCATCTCCGCAAGGCTGGGAATGGGATCCATTTCCTAGTAGAAAATGAGTTTTGTCCTATAAAACATTTCACAAAGATATATTTTGATCAAGTCCCATCCTACCAGATGCCATATTTTTAATAACCCCCTTGACACGTAACACTAACATTTTGGCCAAATAGTGTACTGTGGTTTACATAGACAGGGCTTGCCACACAAGTTACTTGATTCTGATAAAGGGCATGGCTTTTCTTTGTCTAAGATGTTTTATTTCACAAACTCATTGAATCATAAAGCTGGAAAGACCATTAAAGTTTAAATCGTCTAATTTATGCATAGTATGGCTGGAGGAAACACATCCGGAGAAGGGACTGTCTACAGTTACACAACAGGTTAGAGCCAGGCAGGAACTGGAAGCCAGTTCCCAGGCCGATGCTCTTCCCAGTCTATTCTGCTGCATCCTAAAAGCTGTGCATTGTGCCAGGTGACCTTGAGCCTTGCTGACCTCAGGGGCCCTTATCTCAAATGCCCGAGAATATATCTGCGATTATTCTTACACAGGACCATTTCTTTCTGTGCTATAAAGTTGGCCTTTTACTGGAGTGAATGTCAGAAAATATTTTCTTCTCCAAGGAACAGCAGCTCACCAGAACTAAAAACTACTGCCATAAAGACATTAAATATGCCTGTGAGCTTCCTACTGCTTTGTGTTCAGTCTAGTCCTTATCACTTTGTGGGGACAGAAGAGGCAAAGCCTTGAATCTCCCCACCAAGATATACGGTGAAGGGATCAATCAGATGGTAAAGGCTCTAAGTGGGCTAGAAATTCAGAAGGGATAGAACTTAGCCCTGGAGTAATTAAGGAGTGTTACCTGGATTTTAGACTGGGGCTTGAAAGATTAGCAGGCTTCAGAAAACATAAGGGGAAGCATTCATCCCTGGGCAGGGGAATGGCACGAGCAGAGACATGGGGAGGAGAAAGGAGACGAAGGATGGAACAGTTACTGAGTGTGTGCTGTTCTAACATTTTATTCATCTGTTCTCATTTAATCCCCAAGGCAGCTCTATGAATTAGGTAATGACCAGCCTGCTGCACAGCTGAGAGAAGTAAGGCTCAGAGAAGGAAAGTGACTGGCTCAAGTTAACCAGCTAGTAGGTAGAAGAGCAGGAATTTACACCCAGGGCTAGTGGCTCCAGATCCCATCCTCTCTCTGTTATAGCACAGTGGAAACAGAAGGAAATGAATGAGTGCAGGAGCTTTGTAGAGTGATGAACATAGTAGGGGAATGAAGGTTAATAGATAGAATGGATTCTAGTGGGCCTTGAAAGCCACGCTGTGGATTAGATGTGACAGAAAACAGAGATCCATCCGAAATTCCAGAGCATTGACATGAAAACAGAGTTGAAAGACCACGGAAGTCATGTAGTCAAAGAAGGAAAGAGGTGTTTTAGGAAACTTAATCTGTCGGTGATTACAGGGTGGGCTGGAGGGAGCAGGGACTGGAAGCAGGAAGACCAGTCCCTGGCTGTTTTCCTGGTTTCCCGTCTGCTGTGGGGAACTGCAGTGGAGGCTGGCGCAGGAAGTGGCCAGGCAGATGCAGAGGAAAACCCTGCTGTGTTTCAGCTACATCAGTACCACCAGGACACTGGTAGCTGCAGGGAAGCCTGGGAGAGCAGGACCTTCAGGATCACACAGATTTGGGTTTGAATCTTGATTCTGAAATTTACTGATTATGTGTCTTAGGAAAAGTAATTAATCTTACTGAATCTCTGTTCACATCTGTAAAATGGGAATAATAACTTCTACCTATTTCCATCTCTTAATGTCATTATGAGGATTAAACAAATCGAGTATACAATACCTGGTTCATTATAGGTACTCAAAAAATATTAGCATCCCCTTTCTCTTATGAACATTGGCTAAAATGACTGTCATCTGCCTTTTAAGAATAATAAATTAAACGATCATAGGAAAGCAAGGCCCAGGGTAAACAAGAGCAGAGATCTTTGAAAAACTGAAGTTGTCTTCCATCTCTAAGATTTTTTGATTTAGAATTTAATCTAACTCAAAATTTCTTGTTTTCCCCCTATTTCAGGAAGCTTGTGTGGGTGGCTCCAGAGTTTCATCAAGGGAGGTGACGCAGGGTCCTGCAGGGAGCAGCAGGGGACTTGTCCTCAGCGTGCCCAACCTGGCACACAGACTGCCCACCTGCAGTTCAGACTGCAGAGAAAAGGCCAGACTTGACCTTGAGGTCAGCGTTGCCTAGTCAGCCCCAGGGAGCACATCTCACAGCAGGGTTGCTTATCTTTCCTGAGCTATATGAACAGATTTGCGGTACTGAAGTTTACAGCACAGAGAGGCCAGGTGGAGCTGGTTATCTGATTGCCTGCCACGCGGTCTGAATGATCTTTTGAGCAAAAGGAGGGGAAGTCAGACATGGCAGGTGGATTGTTTACTTACTAATGTCCGTGGGTGGGCTGTGTTGCTATATTTTTTTCTTTTTGATAGTTGGAACACCTCAGTAATTGCTGCGGCAAAAAGTGTTGCTGGCTGACCTGTCTGCCTATCTGTGTGTGCCCACCTTCCTTCCTAAGCCAAACTTATGTAGAAAGATCTTTAATTGTCTTTCAAATGATGGGTCTTGCCAGTCTGCCACCAGTTTGGGAGTGTGTGCAGTCTCTCAGCCCAGGACCTTGCCCAAGATGTCTCCTGCTCATGCAATATTGGTGACCTGCAGGTCTCTCTGAAAACAAGGACCTTTGGCAGAGCTTTCTCATGCTCCTTAGAAAGTTTAGCTCATTAGCAGCTGCCTTCCCACTGTCCCCACAGAGGCCATTTCCTCCCTTCATAGACTCAGCAGAAGCACAATATACATGGCAATGTCAAAGTCAAAACTATTTTTTAATGATTAATGTTAGTAAATGGTTTGCAAGTTGTTATAAGAGCCAGAAAGGAAAACTACTTTAAAAGCTTGTAGCTTATTGCTAGAACATTCTGAATCTTTTTCATTTATTGGCTCTGCACTGAAACTTTCTGACTGCTTCCCTTACAGGAAGCATAAGATTGTGGTCTGTTCTGTGTGCTGTCGGAATCAAACTGGGTGGATTGTGGTTGTGTTTAATTTGTTAAAATCATAGGTATTTTGAGCCAGAAGGAAATCCAACTCTCCCACTTCACAGACAGAGAAACTGAAGCTCAGAGATGAGAAAGGACTTGCACAGCTACACTCTGATCAGCAGGGCAGCTGCTCCCCCCTGCTCCAGCAGGCAGGGGTTTGTAAACTGAGCAGTATGTCGGGATTATCTGGGCAGCTTTAAACCATCCTAATGCCTAGGCCACACCTAGACCAAACAAATCAGAATCTCTGAGAGTGGGGCCCAGCACCAGCAATTTTTATAGCTCCCTGTTATATAGTGACCCCTGCGTGCAGCCAAGGTTGAGAGTCACTCTGCTAGGAGGGTATGTGTCCCAGAATGTTCACATTAGAGGGAGGCAGGTCTTTCCACGGTGTGACACAGAACGGAGTTAAGCAATGTGTCCTGAGATTCAGTCAGGCTCTGAGCAGCCTTGTGATGACGTGAGTGCAGTTTAGAATCCCAGCTCTGTCCCTTTCTAGTTGAGTGACTTTCAGCAAGTCACCTTGCCTTTCTGAACCTGGTTTCTTCATCTGAAATGAAAACAGTGTCGCCATGAAGATTTGAGATGGTGACTCTAAAGCACTAGAATAAGGCCTGGCACATTGCAGGTATTCAGTAAATGATAGTGGTTATTTTTACCCTAAAGAAAGTTAATTTAGAGTTTGTGGTATGAACCCTTACCGTCGTGCAGCAGTGCTTTTACAGGACAAGAGAAGCCTCCCACTGCCCTCCCGTTGCACTGAACAGGTGCTGGTGTTCTTATCCCTTTCAGGTCCATCTGGGAAGCGGGATTTGGGTTGATGAGGAGAAATGGCACCAGCTACAAGTAACCCAAGGAGATTCCAAGTACACAAAGAACTTGGCAGTCATGATTTGGGGAACAGATGTTCTGAAAAACAGAAGTGTCACAGGAGTCGCCACAAAAAAAAAGAAAGATGCAGTCCCTAAGCCACCCCTCTCGCCTCACAAACTCAGCATCGTCAGAGGTAGGTCACGGAGTGGAAACACAATGGCTGAGAGTCTGTCCTCTACTCTGTCAAGAATGTATTAGGCACAATTCAATTCCACAAACACTTACTGCAGCTCGGCATACCAGGCCCTGGACTGGGCAGGGGACCCAGGAGCAGATATCCCAGATGTCCTGGAAGAGCCCACATTTAACAGGTCAGATGAGCTCTGGAGGCAAGTACAGTTCAGGGAACTAGCATGAGAGAGGGACAGATTACATGCTAAGGGACTTCTCAGGTGGGGAGAATAAATACCCTTAGCTAGAAAATCAAGGAAGAATTCCTGGGGACGGGAGGTCACTGACTGGGCCTTGAAGGACACGTCAGACGTGGAGACACAGGTGTGTATGCAGAGGTACTGCGCGAGGCAGAAGCACCTTGAACAAAGGCGTGGAGATGGGATAGGAGATGGGGTAGGAGAGAGTGGTGCTGTGTGCAGACAGCAGTGAAGGTCGAGGCTGGGGGATACAGTTCTTGGTGGTTCTAGCATTGGCCCTGAAGCAGTTAATGAGAAGAAGACTAGCTGATGGTCACTGGACTCAGCTTCCTGTCTGGTGTTTGGGAAGGGTTGGAGGGGAGGCAAAGAAATGGGAGTTATTTGTCTCCCTAGAGATAAGTCTACATCCTGGACTCCTTGATTTGCCTGCCTGCTTTCTTCCCCTTCTTCCTTCTCTCCCCTCCTTCCTTCCTACCCAGTCTTCCTCCCTTCCTCCCCTCCTTCCCTTCTTTTTTCTTTCTCTCTTTTCTCTCCTTCTTTCCTCCTTTCTTTCCCCTGTCTTCTCACTTTCTTCTTTCTTCCCTCCCCCTCTCCCACCGTCTCTCCATCCATCATTCTTCGCCAGGCCCTCTGCTGGGTACTGAGGACACAAAGAGGGGTAAGACACAGTCTCCACCTGCAAGGAGCTCGCAGTTTCTTGGGGAGGACAAATACAAAAACAACTAGTTACTGTGCAGAAATACAAACTATAGAGACAGACAGCAGCGTAGAGGGAGCGCAGAGAATATATTAGTTGCTGATTATTTTATGCACTTACTATGTTTCAGATACTTTTTTTTTAAATGGTTCTCTTTTTAAAAACACTTCTATATATATTAACTATTATCCTCATAATAATCCTACTGTTGGCTACTATTATTATTCTTGTTTTACAAATGAAGAAACTGAGACACAGAGATGCTAAGCAACTTGACCAGGTCTTACAGCTCGTAGGAATAGAGCCAGGAGTCCAAGCTTTGAGGATCTGTGCTCATAAACCACTATTCTCTAAGCGTCCAGGTCTGCCATATTTTCATGAGGAAAGTAAGACTCAGTCAGTTAACACATACATTTTGAGCAGGCCCCATGGCAGGTTCTGGGGGAAGACAACAAATATGTCCAGAACCAAGTCAGATAGTTCCAGGTACTGTGAGCTTCCTTATATGATGTGGCGGGACAAAGATGGCTGCACCAGCTGGGGTGGTTGGAGAAGGTCAGTTTGAGGAGGTGACATTTGAGCCACAAGCTGGGTGTGGAAGAGGCAGCCCTGTGAAGGTCTGAGGGGTGGCCAATCAGGCGGAATAAGCGGCAGGTGCAGAGGCTAGCGTGCTCAAGGAGTGGAGAAGTGTCTGCGGTGTAGAGGAGGGGAGAGTGAGGTCAGGGAGGTGGGCAAGAGCTGGTCTTATAGAGCCAGAAGGCCGCTGTAAACAGCTTGGATTTACTCTGCTGCAGCAGAAAGGCAATGGAGTTCTCCCAGTCGTGGAGTGACCACATGGGAGATCAGTTAGAAAGCTGACGCAGGGCTCTCAGGGAGAGATGCTGCTGCCATAGACTGAGGGTACAGCAGGGGAAGTGGAGAAAAATGCCCAGGTTGAGGGTATATTTTGGAGGTTGGCAGGACACAGAGAGATTAAGCAAAGAGCCTGAGGTCACGGCTACAGATTTCAGAGCCTGTATTCAAAACCACACCCCCTTACTCTGGTCTGGGGCTTGTTCTGCTGTAACACAGCTGCCTCCCTTTCCTGGCTGGCTCGTGATGAATTGATTTAGGCAGCCACTTATTTTTAGATAATCAGAGGTAGCCTTCAGTCTGGCTGCTGTCTGAAGCAGTAAAGCCTGATTTAGGAGGTCGCCCTGAGAAAGAGGCTCTCCCAGGGCTGAAGCTTTGCCTTGCCTGGTAGGGGGCCGACCTCTAATTCTGCTACACTTGTTAGAACGTGACTCAGCAGGTCCTGGGTACCTTCCCATAACTGGCTGTCCTTACCATTGTCATGTGATATAAAATCATCTGCTGGGTGTCTGCCTCGGCCCTGGGGACCATATCTGATTCGTCTCTGTGTCCTTGTTGCCTAGCACAGTGCCTGGCACACGGTAGGAGCTCAGTAAATGAGCATTGAGTAAAAACACTGAGACCCACAAGCTGATCCCCTGACTGACCATTAGTGTGATTTCTTGCAAATCACTTTTTCTCTCCATGTCTCAGTTCCCTTCACTGAAAACTTACCTCTTAAGATAGTCAGGATTGCTGAGGACCGTAGCAGTGACACAGTTGGGAAGAATACGCCTCAGCTGCGTGGCTGGGGCCGTTACACACCCACCGTCCTCAGCCCCAGCTGGGACCTGGATCATCTGCCACGTCCTCTGAGTTTCCCTCCCTGATCTACTCCCCCACTTTCCAATCTCTTTTTAAATTTCTCTGCTCTGTCTCCAAACATGATACTCCATTCCACACCTATATCTTTCGCAAAAGATGGCCTTGTCTCTTCCTTCACAGAGAAAGGTAATTTCGACAGCTTCTAACCACCACACCTACAGACTTAACTCTATGCCCCTGTTTTTCATGTCTCAAAAGAAGCGTTTCCTCCTCTTATTTGGTGCTGGTAATTCTCTCTAGCTGGGCCCTAGGTCCCAGTCCACCTGCCTTCCTACGTACTTTGTTGCTCCAATTATGCCCCTGTTCTACCGATTCCTTCTCAACAATGTTTAAATATGCCTTGATTACTCATTTCTTACAAAAGCAAACACTCTTTTGAGGGCACTTACGTCACCCAGCTGCTGCAGTGTCTCTCTTTCTTCACATCCAGGCTTCTCGAGAGACTTCTCCATGCTCACTGTGTCCCTGGCAATGCCTCTCCATCTTCAACCCACTTCTCTCCTGTCCTGCCAAGTGTTCCTTGGCAGATCTCCTCACCTCCCATCATTCCCATTGCCGTCAGCGTGCTCTTGGCTCTGGATTCAAATCCGTACTCCTCACTTGGCTGCTGCCCGGTGATCTGGCCTCAGTTACCCCTCTGACCTTGTCTCGCACCACACTTCCCACTTGCCCCCTGCTGTAGCCACAGAGACCTTCTTCCAGCTCCTTCCTGTTCCACTGCCGGCAATGCCCTTCCTGATCTGCACTCTCCCTCCCTGTCACTTAGAGATGCCTCCCAGCCACCCCGTCTAAAGTAGCCTCTCCATTGCTGCCTGTCACATCACCCTGCTTAAGCCTCTGCATAGCAATTCTTATTTACGTGTTTACTCAATAATTGTCTCCCCCCACACACACCTCTATTAGAATATAAACTTCATCAGCATCTTATTCAGGGCTAGCCCATAGTAAGAGCTCAATGGATATTTGTTGAATCAATGAATGAGGATTCCCAAATCTATGTTTGACCTCAGTTCATACTTCTGAGTTCCTGATACATCTACCCAAGTGCCCAGTAGTCATCTCCTCGTGGATGTCCACATGACATTGGCAAAACTGCTGTCTCCTTCTCCACAAAGCCTCCCACCTCTCGTATGTTCCCTGTCTTGGTGAGTGACGCCACCAGCCCAGGACCCAGGCCTCGCCCTTGACTCTTCAGCATGCCTCACTGTTCAGCCCCCAAATACCTCCTAACCCATCTGCTTCTGTCCATAGCCGCTGCCCCCCTCTCATAGCCCAGGCCACACCACTTCTCCCCTCCGCTACTCCAGCAGCTTCCAGACTCCTCTCTCCATTATGTAACCAGAGCGATCATTCAGAAACCAGATCTGATCTTTCACCACCACCCCAGTCACAGCCAGTTCATAGTGTTCATTATTAAAGGCTAAGCTTCTTAACATGCCATAAAAGCACCTTCATAATCTGGCCCCTGGCTATATCTCCAGCATTATTTTTCAGCAATATTGCCCCTGAACTCTTAGTTCTTACCATGATGAACTCCTGTATTCCCTGCATAAGCCCTGTTCCCTCTCACGTTGGGGAATTTGTAAATGCTGATCACAGTGCCTGGAACATAGGTCACACTACCTACTTGTCACCTCAGATCTGCTCAGGGGAACCTTCCTTCAGGACGTCGTCCCTGACCTCTTTGGGTGGGTGGGTGCTTCTGTCATATGTCCCAGAGCACCCAGTGCCTACCTCAGTTCTCTTCCTACTGTATCTTTGCCTCCTAGGAGCCTTTTCCACCTGCCCCTTAGAGCCTATAAATGCTCACCATGTAAGTGAATAAGAAGGGAATTGACTTGCCCAAGGCCATACAATAGATAAGAGACAGAGCCAAGCTGAACTGGGGTTTCAGGCTTCCTGCTGTCACCAGAGTTGTCTTGTGTTACTGAAATACAATGTTGATTATTACTTTTTTACTACAACAGGCAGGTTTGAAGTCTGTCTCCCATCCCATCATACAATCACTGTTGTTAGCCTAATTATTTGAGCTATTCCAGATTGCATTTGGCTGGTTCTTCCCATGCACGCTGTCTGCAAGATTGAGATTGTTTGTATTTATTTTGTCTTATTTTATCACATTTAGTCACATTTGCCACATAGAAATGGCAAAAGCCTTTACACTCACAGAGGTGGTAAGGATTTTCTCTTCTCTTTGATTTTAAAATCATTCCTTACCAGACAGCAGAAGGATGGGGTGAATGCTGATACTGCTTTAGAAAGATGAAAGCAGGAGAGCTCGAGCAGAGTCTTGCTCTAATGACAAGCTCCAGAATGACAGTTAAACCTATTAAGGTCAAATGACCTTTTGCAGAGTGTCTGAGTTTTCTAAATGAGCCTCAGCATTGCGTTCTGGTTAATTTTTATAACTTTTTTAATAGGACACATTAGCGCTGTTATAAACCTTGTTAATTAAGCGATAATCTCAAATGCTCTCTCGCAGAGCGAGACATTCCCAGCAACTGCAGGTGATTAATATCTAGAGTCTAACGAAAGCCTTTTAATCAACCTGAGAAGCCGTTCAGTGCTGTTGCCCCTAGGAAATGAGAATGATTGGAATTCTGTGGGGGCCCCTCTGAAAACCTTCCTCCATTTGCACTTTTCTCTTTCTACTATGGCTTCTGCTAGGGCTTCTAAGGGCCATCACACCCACTCTCCTGCCTTCCTCTTCTCTCCTTTGCCTCTGTACTTGCCATTATTACCTTGTAGGCAGCTGGACTTAGACTGGAAGGATCTCCTTAGATTATCTGATCTGACATCCCAGAGAGATAGTGAAACTGAGACCCAGAGAGGTTCCCCCTAGAGGTTGCACAGCATCTAGGGTTGGAGCTAGACTTGAACCCCTGAACTTCTAAGCAGTTCTCATCACAGGCCATCTCCCTCATTTGGTTCAGGTTCCAGCAAAGTCACTGTGCCTGTTTGCTTTTTCTTGGCCCAGGGCTGGAGAGGGAAGCCCAAGCATCCCAGTGTGTGGAGGGAGACTGTGTGGTTACAGTTCTGTTAGATTGTAGTCAGTGCTTCAGCAAGAAGAAGAACCCAGGCAGGTGTGGGAGCATAGAGTTGTAGGTAGAGCGGGGTCTTTAACTCAGTCAGGGAGGTCCCAAGAAGGCTGAATCTGGAAGAATGAGTAGGATTTAGGCAGGTGAAGAGTGATTCCAGGGTATTCTGGGCAGAGACGAGAAAAGACACTGATGTGTCGGGCAGCTTGGAATGGAGAGGGAATTGCAGGTGAACATAGCAGAGGTGGGGCTGGAGAGACAGGGCCCTCTGCCTTCCTGTCTCTCAGTCCTTATGGAAAGGCCAAGGCAAGATGAAGTGAGGATTAATCAGACTTGGGAGCAGTCAGGAAGCAGTAGAGGTCAAGTAAAAGCTTTTAAAGGCTTCCCTGTGCAAAGCCCTTCTCAGTGGGGAATAAAGGGTGCCCCAGAGAAAAGCTTAGAGCACATGCACCCGCAGCACGCACAGCAACAGGAGGCAGGCTGGCTGGCTCCGTGCCCAGGGGAAGGCTCCGAGCGTGGGGAGGCAGCAAGGGATTCTGCCCTGTGCTCACGCCCCTTCTCTGGGCCTCTGATCTTCTCATATGTAAGTGGAGGAGTTAGCACAACTTAGTCTTCATAAGCCCCTCTAGTGTTGACATTCTGCATCTCTGAGAGGATTGCCTGCTCTGGGCCGTCTTCGTAAAGACGAGATTTTGCTTATTCTCCATAGCAATTCCCCAAGATTGGATTGTCATTCCTGTTTAGGGGAGGAAACTCAGGCTCAAAGAACTTAAAGTTTTCGCCCATGATTACACACCCTGGGGGTACATTCCCCACCCTCACTCTAGTCCTCTTACATCCAGAATGTTTGTGTTCCCTCAGGTTTCCCTCAAAAAGCATTTATTCATGCATTCATTTAACATATATTTACTTAAGCTTGTCCCTGTGCCAAGCACTGTGCTAGACCCTAGGAATTAATAGTTGTATATACATAAAATACCTGGAACAACCCCATACAGTGAGGTGTAGTATTCCTTACAGTTTGAAAAAGGCTGGCAACATGTTTATCCGACATGCCTCATGGCGGCCTTTAAAAAGATATCTGTGACTTGTTATCCTTGTTTATGAGGTGAGGGATTGGGGGCAATGATTTGCACCAGGTCCCCACACTAGGAAGTCAGCTGAAATCAGGCTCCAGCCAGGCCTTGTCTGGGGCTGACTCTTTGCTTCCTCACAGCAAATGGTAGCCTCAGTAAGAGAATGGCCGTCCTAAGCCTCATTAGTAGTCGCCACAGTGAAACACCACTCCATACCCACCAGTTTGTCAAAACCTTAATCATGCGACAATGTCAAGTGCTGTTGAAATGAGGCAACCAGTACTTGGACAGGAGTGCCAGTCAGCACAACCACTTTGGGAAACAATTTACTAAGCATCACCTAGTAATGTTGAATATGCACACATCTTAACATTCAGCCAATTCCACACCTGGCCCGATACTAAAGAGTTTCCTACATGTGTACCCCAGAGACATGTGCCAGGGTATTTGTAACTACAAAACCAAGTGTCCAGGGACAATAAAATGGGTAAACAAATTGTGATACAGTCATACAACACAACACTACTCATCAGTGAAAAGGAATGACCTACAGCTCTATGTTTCATGGATAAATCTCAAAACTAAAACATTTGAGTGAAAAAAGCAAGTCAAAAGGATATATAGAATATAGGCACATTGGTAAAAAGGTTAAAAACAAGGAAAAATAAACTTCATGTTATTTAAGGATATGTACATGTGTTAACACCAAAAGCAAAGCAAAGCAAAATTTCAGAATAGTTACCCCTGGTGAGAGAGAGGAGGGAAGAGGATTAGGGGGGGGCATCTAAGGCTTTCAGAGGGACAGTGATGTCCTGCTAAGCTGGGTGGTGGGCACGGGGGGTTTTAGCATTATTTGTTTTTATTTTAGGCTAGTCAATTAAAGCAGTGGGAGTGGAGAAGGAATAAAGAAATCTGTAACTGGTCGTGATCAATTATTTGTAAACTTACCATTTTTACAGTATAAATTTACAGTGTATATTTACTCTTTTCTAAGTACATTTTATGATGCAAATTTAAAAATATAGCTATTCCAAATATGTGAATTGGTATTTGGGAAGTATGTCAGGAGGCACGTTTTCTTTTACCCCCCCTTAAAAGATTTGTACTCAAATTCACCATTAATCCTTGGCCTTCTTGTTTCTTCTCCCTGTCTAGAGTGTTTGTATGACAGAATAGCACAAGAAACTGTGGATGAAACTGAAATTGCACAGAGACTCTCCAAAGTCAACAAGTACATCTGTGAAAAAATCATGGATATCAATAAATCCTGTAAAAATGAAGAACGAAGGGAAGCAAAATACAATTTGCAATAAACTTTGGATTTTTCATAAAGCCTTCGTGTTTTCCTTGTATGGCGTGTGATATGCGAGCGATGGTGCTGTCCAAATCAGGCCCCACCACGAGTGGTAGTACATGGGCAGGGGGCCAGCTGGGTTCTGAAGCCAGCGGCTTGTTCTGAACTTGGACTTCCCGCTCCAAAGAAGGCAGGTGGATTTGCTGATACCCAGGCAGCAGCCTAGTGCTGATGTTGTTCTGGGGATGGGAAAAGCACTCTTTTCAAAGGGGGATAAGGGGTCTCTGAGTTGCCTATCACTTGACCGGGATTTGAACTGATATTTTCACCATTCAAGGACTTCTATCTCTGTTCCTCTATTTTGCTATATAATAAAGCTTCATTAATTCTTTGATGTACACAATCATTATCCTTATTTATTTAGAATATTAATGTGAAGTGGAGGTGACCAGTGTGCTATAAGGCCTGGAATGTCTTCCTTTCGGGGGAGGAACATTCAGGCTGAAAGAGAGAAAATTCATAAGAGACGCGGTTGCTATCTAGGTATGTGAAGGGCTATCTCAAAAGAAAAAGATTACTTTCTCTGATTTCAAAGGCCAGATCTTGGGCCAATCACCTTCGTCACTCAGGATGATCTGAGATTCAGCTTCCCTGATAATTCGAATCAATCTTTGTAAAGGAATGAAGGGAGTGATAATGTCAGATGTGGTATAAAGGAACATTCAGGAAGTAGAGACATTGTCGCCTGGTATCAGTTCTTTCATCCTATCTTGTATCTCAAGTGTTCTTTGAAGTTACATAATTTTTATGTCATTCTTTATTCAGTTACTGAATCTCTAAAGTGCCTGGCACACATTTGGCAAACCACATTCGAGCTTCCTGTTGATTTGCACTTTGTTTCTGTAATGCCTATGAAGTGTGCATGGTGTTAGAAAGGGCAAGGGCTTTGGGCTGACGCTTCTAGACTCAAGCCTGGCTCTCTGCTTGCTTTGGGCTTAACCCATCTTCTCTGAATTTCCATTTTCTATTCCATAAAAAGGAAATAATACATACCTTGCAGAGTCGCTACAAGAATCAGAGATAACATACATAATAAAGTGCTCGATAAATGTTGGCAATTTCTGATTATTGGCTTTTAGTTATTGGTTGGAAAGCTTTGGCCTTTGGTTTCTCTAATGGTTTATCCATTAATTGGTGGTCTGTAACTAAAAGCTCAAGGTCACTGGGATAAGTAGAGGAGGTGGCTGCCACTTTGAGAACTTTTACTAAATAAAATCCTTTACAATGTGAAATATTATATGCTTGCTAATGGGATACATAGATGTGAATTTCTCTTTATGGTATTTTCCTGGCTCTCTGCAAACTGGCAATATAAGCAGTCTGGGACTGATCACTTACCTTCTCAGAGTCCTTATCAGTATAATAAGGAAAATAATGCCTACCTCACAGGGCGTATGGATAATTTAATAATAATAAAAATACTTAATATGTGCCAGGACTTTTCTAAGTGTTTAACATAGGTTAATTCATTTCATGAGATAAGTAAAGTTCCTGACACTTCGTAGATATTCAATAAATTCTTCTTGTTAAGATACGTTCATTTAAAGGCCTGGGGCATCTTGGGCATGAAGAATGTGGAATGCATGAGACTAGAAGAAAGCATGTATCATTGTTGAGATGGTCTCCTTTTCTCCCTAAGCATAGGAAAGACACAAATACCCAGATCTGCATTTCTCTTTAAAGACGAGTATAGTAAGGTACCTGCTATATAGGTGCTTTTAGTCTAGTGGGGGAAATAGTTATGGAAATATCTACAATAAAAATGCTATTACATATGTGAAAGTGTTTTGGGTAATGTGTAATACATATGTTACGTTAGAGACAGAACAGGGCTGGGAAAGATTGTGGAATCTGGGTTCAAATCCTGCCTTTACCACTTCCAGGCAGGTCACTTGACCTCTCCAGGCCTTGTTTCTTTTAATGTCGAGATAATGATCCCTAACTCAGGGTGCTTGTGAAGAGTAATCTAGATAAAATCTATGAAAAGGCTCCGTAAATCACAAAGACCCATGCAGATGTTAGTTATTATTTTAGCACATAAGGCGGAATGTAATCAGGAATGGATACACGAATGAAGCATGCTTGTAAGAGCCAGTTCTGATACAGAATCAAGAGGTTTCACACACTAGTTAGACTGAGATGGTTTTGAGCCCCCCTTGTGTACCTGGTGCCTTGTTACTGTGATATGGGGGCAAGATCATCATTTTTACACACAAATGAAGAAATGGGCTCAGAGAAGATTAAATAAGTTCTTGTCTGAGGCCCTGGCGCCGTCAGCAGTGGAGCTGGATCAGAATCCAGGTCTGTGCAAAACCTGCCCTTTTACCTCTTGCCTGAAAGATGAGTGGAAACTTATGGCCTGAGCTTAGAATCTAGCCATGTAATCTCAGGGTACATTTAGGGGAATCTCAACCGGAGTGATCGGTCAATGGATTAATTCAGGCCATTTGGAGGGACTGGGAATAATGATACTGTTTATAAGCATTCATAGTTTTATTACATTCAAATACAGAACATAAAACTGAAATTCTTATTATATATTAATAATAAAGTGTTTCCCAAACTTTCCCAATTTTAAAAATTGGCTGAGGTGCTTAAAATAGAGATTTCCTGGGCTTTGGCTTTGAAAGCCTGATTCATTAGATCTGGGATAAGGCTGGGAATGTGTATTTTAACACAAGTACCACTTTTGAAAAATACCAGTTTCGTAGAATTCATTAGAAGCCCAGCTGCAACGAAAGAATAGGAGTGTTTCCTATGTAAAAAGAAACGAGCCAAAAAACTGATGTTCCTTCTAAAGTGCCTAGAGATATTTGAAATTGAGAATAAATTTCTTCTTAAATAACTGAGGATCTGCCCTAACACCTTGTTTAGAGTTCCACTTCACGCTCACCAAATGCTGTTTAGCTGGGCACGATGCAGAAGGTGACTCTCTGTCTAGGCACCAGTGATTTGTCCCTCACTTATACGCTTAGATTCTTTTGATTCCTGAGCCAGGCCAGTGAGTCATGTAGGCGAGGACAGTCAACACCGAGGTGGCAAGACCTGAATCAATGAGGTTTGGGCATTTGTCTGCAGAAGCCCTGGCAACAACTTCTCTGTTACCAGATGAAACAGAAAAATGGGACTTGGCTTATTTTCTAGCTAAGGAAAATGTGTTGGTAAACTGTTAGGTGTTTGTGTGTTTCTTGTATGCATTTCTAAATTATGACTTTTTTGTAATTATAAAGAAATAAAAACTACAGAAACTTTTGGAAAAATAGGGGAAACCCTCCAAATTGCACTGTTGAAAGCTTTGTGATGTATCTCACCTAGTCTTTTTTCAAAGGTGTAAATATGTATTTTACTTACGTTTACAGTGTATGATCAGATTTGTATAGTTCTCTTTGCATTTAACATGTTTCCCTGTATTTTGTGAAATTTATAACCATCAGTTCCAACATCCACAAACTGTACTGACACAAAGCTACAATCGAGTGAACCATCTGACCAGCTGCCCAGGCACTTACAGTGGGGCTAACCCATAGGTCTGCCAGTTCAGGAAGGGCCTCACCGCGCGCCGTCATCAAGTGTGGTGGTAGGATGAGCTTGCGTTAAGACGGAGATGCATTCGCGTTCAGTTCCCGACCCTAGCACTCACTACCTCGCTCGCGACAAGTTATTTCGTCTTTCTTAACACCATCTGCAAAATGGAGGAAATAATACCTAGTTATGGGGTTACTGGGGGGACCGAAAATGTAATTAAAGTGTCTAAACAAGAGAGGCTAAATGGTCATCAGCGTTAACGTTGGGATTCTTCTCCTCTGTTCTTCTTTCGCTACACCTGTTCATGACTCACCAGAGTGTGCTCCTGGCCGGTCTGTAACCTGCTGACCTCTTACAAGGTGGCCTTGGCTTTCATGCCCACCTTTGGCTCTCTACATTTGTCGTGCTTATCCCGCCATTCTCGGTCCCCTGGGGCTCTTCCCTGTGCATGTTGACTAGGCTCACCCCTGGGCCTCCAGCTCCCCTCACCCAGCACAGCCCCCATCCCCTGCCACCCAGCTGGCCCATTTGCCCCTCTTTGGATTTTTAGATTGTTTATGAATAAAACTCAGATGAAGAATTTTATGTTGCACAGTGTTTTCCTTTATATTTTTCATTGTTTTCTTAGGGTGGTTTCACCAGGGTCAAAAGGAATGATATTTTTATCACTCTTGATACATATAATGGGTGTGACCACTCTTTAAATTATTTTCCCAACTTAATAGGGAAAAAAAACTATTATATTTTATATTGTCTTTGATTATTGCCAATACTGCACATCTCTCCAGAGTTTGATTTCTTCTTTACAGAAAAGAAAAACTTGTCTAAAACCTGTAAGTAGTTCTAGCAGAATCCATTTCATTTTCTGTGTTTAGTATTCTCATGCATCTCAAATTGACTGAGGAGTAAAGAAAAATTAAATTAAATTAAAGTATTCTTATGGACCAATGTGTTTACCTTAGGCATATAATTTTTGCTTTTATATCTGCAAATTGACATACCAAAAGATAGTTTCGTCACTTCTTTTGAAGGAATTGATCCATTTCTGCCAGGCAGCCTCATAGGGTCATGGAACCTAAGGGTCGAAGGTGAACTTTGAGGTTCTCCACCCAGATCCCACTGTAAGCAAATGCCTCTCCAGACCATGCTTGAATACCTCCAGGTACGAGGAATTCATCTTCCTACCCAGGAGTCCATCCAATTATTGCCATCAGTAAAATGTTCTTCCGTTGAGCTAAAAACCTACTTCTTTCAGACTTTTTAAATTTAACTTTTTAATTGACAAATAATAATTGTACATATTCATGGGGTACACAGTGATGTTTCAATACTCATGTGTAGTTATAGATCAGAGTAATTAGCATATCCATCATCTCAAAGATTTATCATTTCTTTTTTTGGGAACATTCAATAACCTCCTTCTGGCTCAAAATCTCTCTCTAAAACCACACGGA